AAAATATAACGTTATACTTAGAGCATCAGATATGTTCAGCATTCATACATGTGCAGCATATACACACTGCAAAGAATGTATTATGTTCTATATACTTGAAATACCTTACTTAAAGTCTAAGAAAGCTTAATTATTAGATAACATTAACATGTAAGCAGTAATCTTATCTAAAAGCCAGAACCACCCCACACACATACTTACAGCTTGTCATGAAGCAATTCTCCTAACTTCAGTTCTACAAAAGAACGGGACAAAATGAAAAATTACAATCATTCTAGCACAACTTTTCCAGAGCAGCCTTGTCACACACCAAACTGCCTTATGCCACAAGAGAATAAGCTGCAGGAAGCAAATCAGGCATTTATACTTGCATTGAGTTTGCATGGCCTGGGTTTGGTAGCTTGTTGTGGGGTGGATACCGGGACAGTTTTTGCAAGTAGCTTCTTGCATGTGCAGCAGAACCAATCCCTGGTGGCTCCAGAGATGGACATGCTGCTGGGCCATTCAGAAACAACAACACCTCTGTGGTAACAGATTTAAGAGGAAAGAAAAACAAACAAAAACATTGCACAGTTTTAATAGCAGATGGAGAAGAGCCAGGTGAGAATATGGGAGAAGAAAAGCCCTGCAGGCACCAAGGTCAGTGCAGAAGGAGAAGGAGGAGGTGCTCCAAACACCAGAGCTGAGATTCCCCCTCAGCCCCTGGCACAGCCCATGGTGAGGCAGCTGTGCCCCTGCAGCCCACGGAGGTTCATGGGGATGCAGAGATCCACCTGCAGCCCATGGGGGAGACACACGCTGAAATAGGTGGATGCACAAAGGAATCTGTGAACCCCAGCAAGGGAGGCCCCATGCTGGAGCAGCCTGTCCTTGAAGGACTTGTACCCTGTAAAAGAGTGACCCAGGCTGCAGCAGTTTTGGGAGGACTGCTGCCCATGGGATGGACTCACACTGCAGCAGTTTGCTGAGTGGACTCACACTGGAGAAGTTCACGCAGAACTGGCTTCTGTGGGAGGGACCCCACAGTGCAGCAGGGAAACATCTCCCCTCCCTGAGCAGTGGGAGAAGCCCTGGGTGATGAACTGACCATGACCCCCATTCCCTGCCTCCCTGTGCTGCTGGGGTAGGAGGCAGAGCTGGCAGGGAGCTGTTTTTAAGGGGTTATTTTACTTTATCACTATCCTGCTCTGATTTTGTCAGTAATACATTCACTTCATGTCTCTAAGTTAAGCCTATTTTTCCCATGACAGTATTTGGTAAGCAATCTCTCCCAGTCCTTATCTCAACCCATGAACTTTCAATAAATTTTCTCTCCTGTGTCCAGCTGCAGAGGGATGTGATAGAGGCTTTGGTGGGTGCCTGGAATCCAGCCAGGGTCAAACCAAAACACACATTAAGCTAGCAGCACAGCATCATAGCATAGCACTTTACTATGAAAAGTAAACATATTTAATATTGCTAAGACACTACAGTTCAGATGATTACTTTAGAACTGGTTTTACATGTTACATGAATTATTCTAAAAATATATCACAATACTTATGACTGTGTACTGAAAAGCAGATTATTTTAAGCCCTTTAGGCCTGGTACATTCTATATGCACATTTTCTATTCCAGCGGCAGGATCTGGAGAAAAAGTTAATTTCTCTGTGGTTATGGCTATTACAACATGAAACACTATTGGTAACTACTGTTAAAATACCAGATGTGGTATCAACTAACCTCTTCCTTCTCTCGTGTTGCCTCAATTAACTAAAATCTATTAGCTGGCACTAGAAAAATTTACAAGATCCATGTAAAGAAGTTACTCTGCTGCTAGGCCCTTGAAAGTCATCACAAAACATAATGTGTACATTAGGGCAGCATAGGTTAAATATGGAGATATTCAGTTGCTCACAGTGCACTGTACTACTCCCAATACCTACAGTTCTGTATACCAGCTCACAATGTTAATCCCATCCATCACTGGAGTTCTGTAGCAGCTAAATGTACTATCTGAAGCATTAGGCACGTAGTTTTGGAAAGTTATGAAGTGTATTTGCAGTTTGGCCTTGGGATACAATTATTTTAACATGAGTAATTTTTTCTTTTTTGGTTTTTTTTTTTTTTCAATGTGTATTTTTAAGTAGATTTTAACATATTTTTCTGTATTACTACTTCTCTGCAACATCATTACCAGAACTATTTACCATGGGTTATTTTTAGGGCCAAAGGTTTCCAAGGGGGTCAGACCCAAGCATTTGGAAACGTGTTTGCTCATTTTGGAAACAAATGTTACAAGCTGCAGCATTTTTTTTATAGCCTGGTAAGCAATGCCTGACCTGGCATAGCAATGGTATGACTTCCAAGTCTAATACTGGCTTCGAGAAGCTGGGGTAGCATTACAAAGAAGAAGAATTTGCCTAAGCAAATACTTGAGGATTTTTAGTTAGTTTAAAAGAGCAGTCGGGGCAAATTCAACTGTAATTCATAGTGAAAGGGCTGCTGCTCTCAGGATGGACAAGGAATGTTGCAGCCCTGTATTACGAGCCTCTGCGTTGGAAGAACTGGTAGGTTTTTCCCATTATCCGAAAGGGCATTAATTAGTAGTCATATGCTGCAAACCTGCTCTTCTCTCCACTTTCCTGTTCCTCTCAGCCGTGATGCTTGCTAACACTCTCACAAGGCAGCAGTCTGCAGCATACAAACAACAAAAAAAATAGATCTGGGGGAAAAAAGACCTCACCATTTTTACAGCTCTGTGGCTTCTCTGTGCTCCTGGTACTGGCCTCATAATTCAGCTACTAATGTAATAAATGCAAATTATGTTCTCGGGCTGGAGCAACCTCACGTTGAGGTAAAACTTTTTGTGTTTTAGTTTAGGGCCATTGCTCCTCGTCCTATCACTGGACACTACTGAATTAAGTCTGGCATTATCCTGTTACCTATACCACCTGCCTTAAGACTCTCCTAAAATTCCCGATTCGAGGGCCGTGACAACGTCTCCTGCCTACTTCTCACAGCCTCGGGACCGGTGCGTGTAGCTGTACAGCTACGAATACCCTGTTGCCACGGGCACCGCTGCTAAACGGGGCGTTTCCACGGGCGGCCCCGCCAGCGCCATAACGGCCCCGCCGTCC